TATTCAACCAATAACTAAGTGGTCTACCTTCTGATAAGAATCATTGACATTTTTGGTTTATGTATTATTCTGGGCGCCATAAAAATTGCTTTAACATGAAACACCTTGTCATAATAGTTTTACACGAGCACAAATCGCGAAAACGAGTTTTCCTTTCAAATCCCGCGTTCGATTATGATGTTTGACTCGTGATTTTTATATATTTTGTACCTGATTGGTGCATCGAAAATAACCTTAGTTACCTAACACGTGATCACTCTGATGTTCATGCTTGAAATCACGCTCGTTGGACTTCGGCCCTGCACGCAATGTTTTTTATTTCTATCAGCTCCTGTTAAATGCAAAAGGTCCTTGAATTTGATAGCCGAGGTCCTTGGAAAGGACCTAAAAAGTCCTTGAAAGTCGTTGAATTGGATTCCTAAAAAAGTGCAAGAACCCTGCTTTCAATTCCATTCCGTTTCAACCCGGTCTTCTCTTTTGGAATGTTGCTTTTCTCTCTGGTGTTTCCTTGTATCTATGGAAACTTACACTTTCAACACCGAAAACAAAAGAAAACTTCGAATTTGATTCATTTTCACTTATTTTCAAGGACTTTTTAGAAATTTTCAAGGACCTGCGCCTAAGTTCAAGGGTTTTCAAGTCCTTGAAAACAAAAAATTAAATTCAAGGACTTTCAAAGACTTTCAAAGAGCGCGAGAACCCTGTGAAAGGCTAAAATTTTCAAGGATAAAGGCTGATAGTTTCTAAAGAAACTGTCTGGGGCTGCGTCGGTGGGAGTAACGAAATAATTTGGATATGTCAACAAAGTTGAAATGGTAAATTGGCCACCGTAACGATTACAAAAGCTGACGTTTCGAGCGTTAGCCCTTCGTCGGAGCGAAGGGCTAACGCTCGAAACGTCAGCTTTTGTAATCGTTACGGTGGCCAATTTACCATTTCAACTTTGTTGACATATCCAAATTATTTCGTTACTCCCACCGACGCAGCCCCAGACAGTTTCTTTAGAAACTATCAGCCTTTATCCTTGAAAATTTTAGCCTTTCACAGGGTTCTCGCGCTCTTTGAAAGTCTTTGAAAGTCCTTGAATTTAATTTTTTGTTTTCAAGGACTTGAAAACCCTTGAACTTAGGCGCAGGTCCTTGAAAATTTCTAAAAAGTCCTTGAAAATAAGTGAAAATGAATCAAATTCGAAGTTTTCTTTTGTTTTCGGTGTTGAAAGTGTAAGTTTCCATAGATACAAGGAAACACCAGAGAGAAAAGCAACATTCCAAAAGAGAAGACCGGGTTGAAACGGAATGGAATTGAAAGCAGGGTTCTTGCACTTTTTTAGGAATCCAATTCAACGACTTTCAAGGACTTTTTAGGTCCTTTCCAAGGACCTCGGCTATCAAATTCAAGGACCTTTTGCATTTAACAGGAGCTGATAGAAATAAAAAACATTGCGTGCAGGGCCGAAGTCCAACGAGCGTGATTTCAAGCATGAACATCAGAGTGATCACGTGTTAGGTAACTAAGGTTATTTTCGATGCACCAATCAGGTACAAAATATATAAAAATCACGAGTCAAACATCATAATCGAACGCGGGATTTGAAAGAAAAACTCGTTTTCGCGATTTGTGCTCGTGTAAAACTATTATGACAAGGTGTTTCATGTTAAAGCAATTTTTATGGCGCCCAGAATAATACATAAACCAAAAATGTCAATGATTCTTATCAGAAGGTAGAGATTACAAATAAGTGACGGATGGTGGAAGTCAATTATCATCGTTGATTCAAAATAATAGTAAGGCATTGGGCTGCCTAGGACTTCGTTCAAAAGCTCCATCAGTTTCTCATTTCAGCCGTAAGGATTTTTTTTAACCTTAAACTCCCAAGATCTGATTGTTAATCCTTCGTTTTTCGTGTGTGGGAAATTAACGTCTCCAACCCCTAACCCTGCAGGAGACGGGACCTCCTCCAATGAGGATCATTATGTTTTTCGATCGACTGCGCTTCAAACTGTTATTGCTAACCTTGTTGGGTCTTACACAATGTAAATAAACTTTTTAAAACAAATTCTTCCTACTTAGATTTTCCAAAGAGGCCAGTGATACGCCAAACTACCCCCAGGGAAAAGGAATTATGGGGAAAATGAGACCTCAAAAAATATCTGGGCACACAAGGAGGGTGGGGTATGGAAAGGAGGAAGTGTTGCGATGGAAGAAAGAGCCTGTAAATTATATACTC